GACAATAAAATTCTCGGCGAGATAATCGCATTCTAAAAGTTTGTTGTTATATGATTTTCGATTTATACAATGGTATTTGATCGGAGGTAATCGTAAGATGAATTTATCGATGAACATGAGAATTGGAGATTGATTTGTTGTCGTGTGATGTTTGCGGGTGAATGAGAGAATAAATGAATTAGTGTTGGATTTTACAGAGTGATCTAGTGACTTTTTTTTTTAATCTTTTGATGAAATCTCTACGTTTATGGAAGTCTGACTGTGAGGCACGAAGTACCAAATAAAATGAATCGTTGGTGTGATTCCATCTTGAGCAAGTTGGTTCGTGGACTGTTCGCAGTCCAAGTCTTCGTAGACTTTGACTTTGCCACTCTAGTCCCGTGAAGTTTCAGTCTTCTTGCACCAATTGTACGCTGTTCTTTTATTTTATTTTATTTTTCTTTGGAAAGTGGTAGCTAATGTTAATACACGTTAAAATGACGCATGATACACGCTAAAACGACGCATGGTTTACTTCGATTTAGATTGTCGATGTCCTCCGCATTGAAATCATATGGGTTAATAATACCACAAAAAACTCCAAATTGGTACATCTGTAATAAATTTATCCCAAATTAATTTTTTGACCACGAAAACCCCCAAACTGGTATACCTGTTATAAATTTACCCAAAATTAATTTTTTGACCACAAAAAACCCAAAACTGATACATTTGTGATAAATTTACCCTCTATTAAATTGGATTAATACCACAAAAAATCACAAACTGATACATAAGTGACGGTAAAATCCCAAACTGGTACACCTGTTAGCTGCCACGTGTCATCCAACTTAGAAATTTGACAGTAAAATTTAACGGAGGGTAAAATTGTCATAGATATACCAGTTTGGGGTTTTTTGGGATAAAAAAATTAGTTTGGGGTAAGTCTTTTATAAGTGTATCGGTTTGTGATTTTTCGTGGTATTAACCCAAATCATATCGACCAATCTCATGCAATTTTTAATCTAATGATTCTATTTTGATGCCAGGCAAAACTATGTTCATACGACACTTTCGAACTTTCCATTTATTTAAATTAAACGGTATCAACTTTTCTATTGATTGACAACATGATTGGCTAGACTATCTAAAGATCAAAGCTTTTCTGAATAGATGGTGTTTGTTTGGAAGTATTTTTCTAAGTTTCTAAATCAATTTTGTGATAACTAATTCCATGTTTCACGATAGAAAATAGCCACTTCGAAACTAAAGTTTCACAATACTAACTTGACGACAACCAACATAAGCTGCAGCTACCAAAATCAGCTTCTATCAACCATTCTTTAGCCAACCAAAGTCGCTTGTAAAGCGCTGGCACGTACACTATCATAAGCTTTTCATGGTCCAGATTATGATCAACCCAATGATGAATAAACCAAGCATTGCCTCCCCTCCATTAATCTCACTTGATCTTTTCTTCGAGAAACAATTCAGACATGAAAAAAGTTTAGATGCCCCACTTATCAAATGATGCTGGCAAAAAAAAAATCATTTATTGAATGGTGGCTGCCTATCAATCAACTATCGAAGTAATTAAAATTATTTTTGAATGAAAATGCCCTTAATCGGTTGAAATAGTTAACCAGCTGACGAGGTCAAGCTCTTATTTGTAGTTGCCTTGGATGCTAAACAGTAGGGTGGTTTTTGTTTTTCGGCATCTACTGCATTATATAAGGTTTATAAGCAATTTCACGGATGCTTCGTACATAATTTTTTTTCGATAATTTATCCGTGGTGGTAGGCACATGGAAACATTGTCGGCATCTCAAAAAAAAAATGCTCAGTGAAATGATTTTTAGGGTGTTGATTGACCAAAAATCATTTTCAGGAAACTGTTTTCGGACTTTCTAGCATACAGAAAACTACTCAAGCAATTTTCCATAGGCTGAAAATAACAAATTTAGATCAAGGAAAATGGTTTTCTCTCCCGCAAGAAGGAAACTGTTTTCCCTCAAAGCAATTGTTAATGATACAAGGTGCATTTAGGCTTTGTTTGGTTCGCGAAAAAATGAATGATTTGGAAAACATTTTTCCAAAAATGATCGCCTGTGTGCTTGAAATTATTAGTCAATGGAAAATATTTGTAGTATCAACAACAATTTATGTCTAAACATTTTCGTGAACAATGAAAATATTATTCGTTCATTCATTTTTCTAAGCGATCTACGTGATCATTTTTAGGAGAACATTTTACAAATCATTTATTTTTCATAAAACAGACGGAGCCTTAGTAGATTTCACTTATTATTAAATATCACAAAACTAATCTTTTTCAACTTCTTTACGGCACAAATGAACTCTAGAAAATGATTCACTTCCTCGGAAATTGAATTTTCAAAAAAAAAATTCCACCCTAAAACAAATAGCCCCTTAAAAGTGAAATTAATCTATCTGGGGAAGAATGGACGCAAAAATTAGCTTCCTATATAATTGGAAAAATGACACCACAAGTGTCATAATTTTCGTACGGTACTCACTTGAGTGCCATAACCTTTTTTTTTTTTATCACTTGAGTGCCATAACAGCACGATCTTTGTTCTGCTGGCTAAGTTGCTCTCGACCCGCGTTAGGTCTACATGCCATTATGCCAATGACACACTATGAGTGCATCGGCAGGTAAGACTGAGGCACTGGCCGCGGCCTTTGGGGTCCAGAGCTACATGCTTGACTGACGTACACATAAAATAAAATCCGTCATGTTGATTTTGGCGTTCACAAACATGCTGGGGTTCCGTTGCACGTTCATGGTGACCGAGACCAAAGGCAGGTCGTTGGAGGAGATCTCGAGGGAGGACGAGGGTGTGCATCAGGGCGAGATGGAGATATCGGAGGCGCAAACGGAAGGTCGGTCGGTAGTCCTTTAGGGCGCCTGCCTATTGAAGCTCAGCGAAAGAACTTAATTTTTCTTCAAGGAGTGGTGCCACTGCACATCAATATACTTATGTATCGAGCTCAATGAAAAAATGAGAAGGGGTTGTACGCTGTCTTAATTGTTTTGTTTCCAAGTTATGTATGTATGAACGTCTCGAAGTGGTCTATCATTTCTTTTGTCGAAGGATAGTTGCTTTTCAATAAGAGATCTCTCCCTTAAAGCTCCGTCTTATGTGATAAATGATATGTCAAGAAACCCAAGAATCCCCTCCCGTGAATTTTTGCAATCACCGAGAACTCGCTCCCGTGATTTGCCCTTGAAATGCTGAGATTCCCAGCTGCCAATCTTGGTTAGAAAATGTCTGTTTCCCTCTTGGATTTCTTTCTTTCTTTGTCCATTTTTGTTAGGGTGTTGCTAGCATAAAAGTCTTTAAACTACTATTAAAATAACAGTACATTGTCGCCATTCTTTGAATCCTCAGTTTCTAGCCGATTCCCTCAAGTACAAGGAAAGAATTTCTATCTTTTCCTTCCTTAGATGGCCGGCTACTCACTAGTTTCCAATTGATTTCCTTCCAAACTTCTTTCTCTCATGTGCACAATTCACCCGTCCCTTGTTTCATATCACTGGCGAGATTCGTAGTCCCTTGTTAGGCCGAGTATATTCTGAAGATAAAATGCTCAATTTAGCACAATTTAAAGTGTGCCGACCAAAAGTTTAATCCTCCCTTTTGTCCTTGGATGGCCGGCCATAAGATGTCATACCAAGATTACGTTCCTTTGCTCTTAATTATTCAAATTCAAGTATAAACAGGTTTTTACTTATGAAATGTGAAGTTCTTTAGGCAAAACTTTAGATGTCAGCAAACGAATTTACCAAATGATTTAGAATTTGCTATACATGTTGCATACCTACCATTCACGAAACAAAATTCCGTTTTTAGGGTATTGAATTTAACAAATGTCCCAGAAACTGTGAGAAAGAACGCGATACAAAGAGCGACAAACATGAAACAACATCATAAATTTTCTCTACTCTTTTTGCTATCTACGTTTTCTCAGATAGGCTAATGATGCCATGCCACAGGCTCGAAGTCTAGTGTCCCATATTGATGTGCAATGAATAACGAGCACTTTCAAAGATTTTAGCTTGTTAATCTCATTTGGCTGGTCGCAAAGGTTCGGGCAGCCCAGCTGACATCTAAGAAAACCAAGCGCCATAACCGACCAATGGATTTATCGACTCCAACCAGGTTTGCACAGTTCGTCAGGGTCAGTCATTCTAAATTTGCAAGTGCAGAGAAGTCGGGAGTTTTAACCAAGTAGCCGCAACACGACATATTCGGAACTTTTAATCTCTTCGCCACCTGCAACAACAAAAAAGATAAAAACATCGTGGAAAGATCAAGTTCTGGATTTAACGGACACAAACTACTGGACAGTAGAGATTCCTAGCATATGTCACACCTTTATATGGGTCCAACCGTCCCAACGATCGGTAATGATGCTCCCTGATAGATCGAGAACAACTAGATTCCTCGTGGATAATTTGGCTATGTCAAACTTTAGAGGGATATTATACGAAGAAAGCCATGGCAATCGGAAGTAGATGTGACTTCTTCTGGAAAAAGTTGATCGGAAGATGAAAATTCTGCCATAAGCTCCCCACTGCTGCTCCAAACACGACTTCAAGGTGTTTTTTCTGACTCCAAAGTTCCATAGACCGGTTCAGCTCATTCCGCCATTAATTTCAGGGAACCTTAGATTTGGAAGTCCTCATCTGCAAAACAGCGTTCTGCCTCATTGCGAAACTTGAGATAGAGAGCTTCAACTTTTACTCTTCCTGCCAAAAAGGAAACACATTATTAACCCCTCATGTTTTATGCCATCATAAAAGAGAGAGTAGCCAAATTGTAAGTGGTAGCAGGGAGCTTTTACCAGGTTTGTTATCAGCAAATCAAATGCTTCCTTGTGATTCCACAGTCTAGTATGCTTCTCTGTCACCATATTACTATCTCGACGGATGATTTCTTGCCCCGTGTTTCTTAATAGATCATGCATCAACAACTTATTCTTTTCTTCAATCTTTATCAAGGACATATGCTGCAGAGCTTCCAAGGCTTCTTCCGGAAAAGTTCAGAGTCATCCATTTGGATCACAATATTTTTGTCACATTCAATGAAAAGACAAGCTACATTAAGAAAGACGTGCTTTTGTCGATCATCCAATGTCTCATAACTTATCTTCAGCTTACTGCTGACTTCCTCGTGAGGAACTTTTTCCAACATTTTCAGTATGACATCCCACTTTTCTTTCTTGCTGCCTGATAAAGACGAACCTATAACCTCGAGAGCTAATGGCAGACTTTGGGCAATGCCTACCGCCTTTCTGGAGTGGGTGAGATAATCATCCAAAGGACAATCTCTTCTAAAGGCACATTTGCTGAAAAGTTGAAGAGATTTGTTGTAATCCATGCAGTTAAGCTCATAGGCGCAATCCACTTCAATAACATTGACAACCTCTCTGTTTGTGATGATAAGCTTACTTCCTTCACCGAACCAATCGCACTTGCCCATAAGTGCATTCAATTGATTCTTTTTGTTAACATCATCGAGGAGAAGGAGAAGCCTTTTACAACACAGCCGATCTTTAATCATCTTAATCCCTTCGTCTGTGTTACTCATATCTGTCCACTGCCTTCTGACTTCTGAGGATGTTGGAGATCAGTTGATTCTGCAAGTACTCAACACCCCTTCACCTCAAAAGTTTCTTCAATGTTAGAAAGGAAACAACACTCCTCAAAATCAGGTGAAAGTTGATTGTAGATGATTTTAGCAAGAGTAGCCTTTCCATCACCAACCATTCCATGGATACCAACAATCCGTGCTTCGGTGTCTAAGGGCCAATCATTCTCATGATTTCATTCACGTGATTGTCTAATTCAACCAAACAATCCGATAATACCAAATAACTCTTTTTCAACTAACTGAAAACCTTCTCGACGACTGTTTTCACGAAGTCACCTTCGTGCCTGATGTTTTTGGAGTTGAAAAATACATTGAATTAGAAAATTGGGTTGAACAACGATTGGTCAGGCCAAACCAAATTAGAAAACTTAAACACCCCGTTTGGACAGAATCCTTTTGAAATTATACGAGCTCAATAATGCTATTCAACAAGAAAAGGATGAAAATGGACTTATAACATCTAGTTAAGCTTAGAAAAAGTTAAATTTTGGCATGATTTCTGGATGATTTCTAATTTTTTTAGAAATACATTCAACTTCAATTCTCCAAATAAGACAAATTCAGCAAAGACTCAATCAGAATTGAGTTGCATTATAAGGATGCTATTGCGATAGTCTTAATCTTAGAAGTAATCACCTGTTGGGCATGCTTTGTAGGTCCCATCCCTTTAGTGTTCAGACTTCACTTAGAGCAGCCTTCCACTCGCTGATAGTTACATCATTGTATGGCCTCTTGTTTTCATGCTCAAGGAAGGCTTGTCCATACCCGCCAGTTTGGTACCGGACCTCAGAAGGTTCCAGGGTATAGAAAATGGGCATGATCTTCTATCCATTGGTTTTCTTGCACTCCACCATCTGCACCAACTCCTTGAGACCACATTTGCTAGAGGCATATCGTTTTGAGAAGATGGGTATGGAGATTCTCGACTGCTTGATTGCTTGGAGAAGCTCCGAGCCAATCTCTTCCCCGTTGCGCAGCTCTTCGTCATCTCTGTAAGCACAGATTCCCGCATCAATCAGGCTGATGTAAAGGAAGTCAGCAATACCTACTCAAGTATCTGGTCCTCTAAATTAAGCTCAAGAACACCTCGTAGTCAAGTCCCGACGAAACCACCATATCCTGAATTTCTATCAAGTGTATATACAAGTAGCCGGGTTTGCTATCTCATTGTTTACAGCTGCTTCATTTTTTAGTAGCGCCATCTTCAGTGATGCCTACTCAAAGTCTTCCCTTGAAGAAATCCTTGAAAAGATCAGCAGAAAAGACAATCACCAGATATGACCAATTAGAAGCTAGTTTGCAAGACACGTTGATACTGTTTCAATAGAATATTGCAAGGTAATTTGACTGACAATGTCAACAATACACAGTATACACTCCATTCTTTTCCAATGCACAGCCAAACAGTGGTTGTAGTCTTGTGCTCTTTAGCATCTACTGCATGATATAAGGTTCATCAGCGATTTCACAGATGATTCCGATATAATTTTTTTCAATAATCTAATCGCGGTGATTGTGAGTCTCCTCTGTCTGGGGACGAATGGAAAAAAAACATCAGCTTCCTATATAATTAATCTATCAAAATTAGGACAGGCACATGGTAACATTGTCATGCATCTCAGAAATAAAGATGTCCACATTGAATGATTCTTAAAATTGTATTAGCACTAGGCTCCAAGCTTATAGACTACTATTAAGAAAAGAAATGGCTCCTCTCATATCTAAGCACGAAAATTGGTTCTTCCTGATGTTGGTTCTGGAGATGTGGCCCTCCACTTCCAAGAGACTAACAACCTCAATTTTCTCTTCCAAGACTTGCAGACATTTAAGACCATTAGTCTATAAGAATTCCGAGCAGAATAAAATACCGATGCACTGCTATTCATTCGATCTGTTAAAATAAATCTGAAGTGCCAATACTCTGCCAATGTTTCAAGTTTAGCTCGACGGTCAAATTGCATTTGCACAAGTGAATTTTTTTTAGTACTTAGCCTCCATGACTCTTTGATCATGATCTGATCACCTTATGTGATTCAAGGATCCTTTTGTTTTCAACTTCATCTTCTGATAGAGTGTAACACCGCAAGATGATAGTAATTCGAAGAGTGACATATAGGAATAATGATCATCTCTCCAACCGCAATGCACACTATTAGATCCTATAAAATACAACCGAGGCTCCAACCCTTAAGTCTGTTCTCTGTTCGGCAATTTTTGGCGTCAAGAACTGAACTACATCACTGTAATATTTAAGTAACTAAGGCATAAAAGGCTGGGATCCTGCTTCTTCGATTCAGTTGCTCTTCGTTACTTCTCCAGTTGCTAAATGAGTCACAATTTCCTGCACAGAAACATGGTTCCGTCATTTTTGTTAGGAGCTAACCATCTCAATCAGAAAACCAGCTCAAACAGTCAGTCTGCGATGTTTGTACTTCTTGGTGTTCTCGTCAATGTTTAAATGCATAGTAAATGCATCAAAATCAAGGGAAAAGAAAGGGTTTTGTAAATTAGCATAAACATCATCCGCATCAAGGCATATGTCTGCGATCCTGCACTCGTAATCTCAGCAGTTAAATTCTCAGAGATCTATTCAGTACCTCATTAGGAGCCGAGTCATTTTCCTTCTCCCTCAATTCCTCTGCCTTTTCCAGTCCAGTTGCATTCTTCTCTTCCACCACCGCTTGACCGTACTCGCCCTCCTTGACCAGTTCATGCCGTGGAGAGTTGTACTCGGAGGAGAGCCCCTCGGACAAGATCCCTTCCTGTGCTTCATCGTCTCTTCTCGGAGAGAAGTAATGATCCGGCGAGTCACGGGGATATGAATCTCCCTGGCTCTGCCTCTTCCTCTTCAGCTACTGGTTCCATCTCCGGCTCTAGCTCCCGCTCCAGCTCTATCTCCCTTTCTTCCTCTACGTGCTTCTCTTCCTCTCTGTCTTCATCCTCGGCCTTTGTTCCTTCTTCTTTGCTCTCTTCTTCCCATTCGGGCTCGGGATGTTCCGTTACGTCCATAACATCAGCTGCAGTTTCTGTATCCTGGCTCACCGCATTATCGATTTCTTGTTGCGCAAGTAATACCGTGTCAATCCCAATTGCTCCCGTCCGAGGGACGTTCTGTTCCACTCATTTGCTCTTCTCGGGATTGGCGCCCGAACTCCTGCTTTTGGTAATGGTGTTTCCGGTGGCGACATCATGCTTCGACTTCCCGCAACCCATTTTCGTCAAGAAGAATGTCAATTGAAAGGAATTAGATTGGAGGACTTATTCTGTATCCCTCTATGCATCAGATTGTAATGAAGTTTCGGCTTTTGATTTCTTTGTCTGTTGCAGTTTTGATTTTGCTTGAGCGGTTTATTTCCGTGGTGGACAAAAGGAAGGAGTTTTTTTTCTGTTGTGGATTGAGAGTGGAGAGGAGACAGTTGCAGCTCAAGTTAAAAAGGGGAGCATTTCCCTTGAATCTAGAAAACGACAGATCGTTTCTTATTATCGGTGCTTTCTTTTTTCCCCAACCCAATCGTATTGTGGAACGAAAAGCTTACTTTACAATTGACATTGGCATACACCTAACCAAAATCCAAAATTGGAAAAGAACAAATTGTCCTTTCTCGAAATCATTTTTTAGTCTCTAGCTCCACATTTGAGTGATTTAATTTTTATGGGCGTAAGAGAAAATCACATTTTCTTTTTATAATAGGAACAAGACGCTAATTAATGCGGAAGTGCAAAGTGGTCTTCGGAGATAAAATTCATATATGTATTTGGTATTTTAAAATTAGAGGTATGTAATAAGTCATTGGATAAAACAAGAAATGTTTTTTTTTATATTTACCCTATATCGATTGACCTCATGAACCAAATTCATAGGGCCGTCAAAAATGGAATTGTTTGCACTTAATTGTGTAGGAAATTGAACTCGTACGATATTCCAAATCCACATGCAGATCCTTTCCTGAACCACTAAATCGAAGAGCAAGCATGTTGGAAAGCTTAACCTCGCTCAGCACACACAACACGACCACCTCGTTGATTCTATCGCGTCGAAGCCATGCACGCCGCCGCGAGAGCTCGCAGGCTCCACCGCATTCTCAAGCCTCCGGTTCATCTCGGCTCGGCCGGATTCATCCCCCCGAACGACTGCCAAGTCGTGGAATGCGCTCAGATTTGTGCGCAATCATGTCGAAACCGCAGCTCCTCCTTCTCCTCCTCCGCTGCTCGGTCCCTCGGTTTCGCAGGTAGCACGCGCTTCTCGTCCGGCAGAGGAATTTCGACGGTGGATTGTGGATGCCCGAGTGATGGTTCTTTGTTAGTGTGGGGGGGCTTTTTTTAGGTTGAGTTTGATGATGTCTAGATATGAGGGGGTGGAGAATTTGATGATTGATGAAGAAGGCTGAATGACTCATTCGAGGGATGTGTGCGCCTGGTGTAGTCAAGTCGAAACGGAGGGATGATTATGCTGTGAGGATTGTGCTCGTAAATTGAAATGTCATATTTTTTTAATTGTTTTCATTGTGTTTGCTTCGTATATATGATATCGGAGACGTGACTGTGTAATGGAATCGATCATGTCGAATTGTTTCGTCGAGTCGAGTTGCTTCGTGTTCTTGAATGTCAGTTCTGGTTTGAATTAGTTTGTTTCCTTGTTGGTACAAGAGGGAGCTGCATTTCTCTTGGCAGTGCAGGGTTTTGATGTGATGTCGTTGGAATTCACAGGGCCGGTTCATGGCAATAGATTGCCTGCAGCCCCTTATTCAATAATTTTGCATTTACCGTATTCTTCCGAAGCAAGTGCTGAAAAGGAGGAACCCCCCACAGGTTTTTCCTTTTTCTCCGTCTAATATGTGGCTTGACAAATTGTATAGTTCTTTCTCTGATATTTGGTTCTTGTTATATTATGTAGAGGCCGTGAAGGAGATGTATGATAAAATTATTGAATCCGTTAA